TTCTATCTATCTATCTATCTATCTATCTATCTATCTATCTATCTATCTATCTATCTATCTATCTATCTATTTATCTATCTATCTATCTCTATCTATCTATCTATCTATCTATTCTATCTATCTATCTATCTATCTATCTATCTATCTATCTATCTATCTATCTATCTATCTATCTATCTATCTATCTATCTATCTATCTATCTATCTATCTATCTATCTATCTATCTATCTATCTATCTATCTATCTATCTATCTATCTATCTATCTATCTATCTATCTATCTATCTATCTATCTATCTATCTATCTATCTATCTATCTATCTATCTATCTATCTATCTATCTATCTATCTATCTATCTATCTATCTATCTATTTATCTATCTATCTATCTATCTATCTATCTATCTATCTATCTATCTATCTGTCTGTCTATCTATCTATCTATCTATCTATCTATCTATCTATCTATCTAATCTATCTATCTATCTATCTATCTATCTGTCTATCCATCTACATACGTATTTATCTATCTACGTATTTATCTACGTATTTATCTACGTATTTATCTATCTACGTATTTATCTACGTATTTATATATCTACGTATTTATCTATCTACGTATTTATCTATCTACGTATTTATCTATCTACGTATTTATCTATCTACGTATTTATCTATCTACGTATTTATCTATCTACGTATTTATCTATCTACGTATTTATCTATCCACGTATTTATCTATCTACGTATTTATCTATTTACGTATTTATCTATCTACGTATTTATCTATCTACGTATTTATCTATCTACGTATTTATCTATCTACGTATTTATCTATCTACGTATCCATCTACATACGTATTTATCTATCTACGTATCTATCTACATACGTATTTATCAATCTACGTATCTATCTACATACGTATTTATCTATCTACGTATCTATCTATCTACGTATTTATCTATCTACGTATTCATCTACCTACGTATTTATCTATCTACGTATCTATCTACATACGTATTTATATATCTAGGTATCTATCTACATACGTATTTATCTATCTACGTATCTATCTACATACGTATTTATATATCTAAGTCTATCTACATACGTATTTATCTATCTACGTATCTTCTACATACGTATTTATATATCTAAGTATCTATCTACATACGTATTTATCTATCTACGTATCTATCTACATATCAAATTTGAAGTTACTTTTGATGCCAAAGTTGATTATTGAATTTTCTAAATTTCAAAGAACCTTTACATCACTTATTTATTGAAATAATATAAACCGATGATAAAACAATTTTGACAAATAATCCAAAATATTATAATAAAAATAAAAATTATGTATAATTTAAAAAGAACTTAAAAGTTAAACCAAAAATAAAAATTAAATTAAATATAATATAATAAAAATTAAATATAGAATGTATTACAAAGCAAAGATAAATAAACAATATAATAAGAAACGTTAACGAAATACATTATTAGGATGCGAAGAGGTATTTAATAAGTAGGGACGACATTACTCTAAAATAAATTGACAATAAAACAAACAACTAAACTAGGAATTTAATATTTTCAAAAAGGAAAGAAAAACATAACTACTAGAAAAAAGGATAGGACAGAAGGCATTGAAAAGAAAAAGTTTTGAATACTAAATGAAAAAAACTACCGTATTATAAACTTACTTACCAAAACTGAAATTAGCATAAATAGCTTTTGTTGTAGAGTTGCCAGGCAATTCGGGAATACTAATTTCAAGAGGATCGAGGTGAGCTACGTTATGGCCTCGAATCTAATATCGACAAAATATATTTGTTTTTATGTTTCAATCGTTTATACCAAATATAGAGTTATGTTTTTTTTTGAGTTTGTATGGTATTTTTTTTGGAAGATATGGAAATTTTAATTTCAAACAATTTTGAAGATAAAACCGAGAAGATAGAGATATATGTATATATAGAAAAAAAGCAATAAAACAAAAGAAAAAAGAAAGTCATAAGCATTAAGTTGTTTAGTTAATGAAAATATAAATAAAATTAAAGAAATTAATTAATTAATTAAAACCATAAATGTAATTAAAGGCTTATTACGTTTGTTTAATAAGTTAAACAAAATATAAACATTAAATACAATACAGGATTAAGTTTATGACAGTATAATGGGGTTATAACAAGTATATAATAAAAATCACCAAAAAATACACATAATTAATAAAATACAATATAAACAAATAAGGTTAATTAAACCAAATGACAAAGAAGAAGAAAGTAATCAAATACCAAAACCTTAACTACACTAATTAAGTACAACTTTAAGAAAAGAAGCCTGCTAATTTAAGAAAAATAATTAAGCCTTTAAATAACAGTCGACAAGTGATTTTAATCAAAGGCTGATATTAACTAAAATAACTTTATAAATAACACTCCGAATTTCAGTTTAAAGTTAATATTCATTGTATTTTTTTTTTTTTCTTTTCAGATCGTTTTCTGTTTCTATGCATTTTGCCAAACTGCTATAGATAAAACGATTTTTAAATATCTTTTTTTTTAAATAAAAGTAAAATGAAAAAATTACCAAACAAAAAACCAGAATGTTGACGTAAAACATCTTCGTTAGCGCGACGGGTAACACCATCCTTACCCCTGACCTTTTCAACAGTTAGAATTCCCATGGGATCCAATTCAGAAGCCAAATGACCACGAGACTATATTATATGAACACAATGGTAGCAGGATATATAGATAAAACAACAATATGTATAGCAGGATAATGGATTTTCTTTTTATATGTTTTTGTTTATTATTTTTAAGTAGTCAAGAGATAAAGGAATAGGTGTGTAGTTGTTTGGAAGTTTACATATACGTATAAAGTTAATACTTAGAGGATTAATTATAACAAATTTGACAGTTGATTTTTGTTAGCCAATTATTAGTAATACATTTTTATTAATTTTAGATTTAGACAAAACATTTTTATTTTTAATTAAGCCAATTAAACTTTTACGTATACTTTTGTTAAGTTTAAGGTAATAATAATAGTGTTATTAAAATTAGCCCTTAAAGGATTTCAAAAATTGTTAATTTATTACATATATGTAAATATTGGGTGTATAACCTAAAAATGAGAGATTCGCCAGGAATGGAGAATATTGTTTTGAAAGCAGATTTTTCTTTTTTTCTATTATCTTTAAGATATACATATATATTTTTTTTTCTTGATTTAGACACGGAAGACTAAGTAATCACTAGGATCAACTCAAGTAGGAATTTCAAAACGTTTGTGATCAGCAGAATTCATCCAAAAGCGAGGAAATTGGTTACCATACGAATTGAAGCTGGGAGACCTGAAAGACTATTCCATAGACGAGTCGACTGGCTGGTAAATGCACTACTTTATTTAAAATTTTATTCTAGTTCTGTTCTATTTCTGTTCTAGTTCAGTTCTAGTTTCAGTTCTGTTCTGTTCTAGTTCTGTTCTAGTTCTGTTCTAGTTCGGTTCTAGTTCGGGTTCTAGTTCGGTTCTAGTTCGGTTCTAGTTCGGTTCTAGTTTCGGTTCTAGTTCAGTTCTAGTTCTGTTATAGTTCTGTTATAGTTCTGTTCTAGTTCAGTTCTAGTTCCGTTCTAGTTCAGTTCTAGTTCAAGTTCGTTCTAGTTTCTAGTTCTGTTCTAGTTCTGTTCTAGTTCGGTTCTAGTTCTTTCTAGTTCTGTCTAGTTCTGCTTTCTAGTTCTGTTCTAGTTCTGTTCTAGTTCTGTTCTAGTTCTGTTCTAGTTCGGTTCTAGTTCGGTTCTAGTTCGGTTCTAGTTCTGTCTATTCAGTTCTAGTTCTGTTATAGTTCTGTTATAGTTCTTGTTATAGTTCTGTTTAGTTCTGTTCTAGTTCTGTTCTAGTTCTGTTCTAGTTGTTCTAGTTCTAGTTTGTCTAGTTCTGTTCTAGTTCTGTTCTAGTTCGTGTTCTAGTTTTCTGTTCTAGTTCTGTTCTAGTTCTGTTCTAGTTCTGTTCTAGTTCTGTTCTAGTTCTGTCTAGTTCTGTTTCTAGTTCTGTTCTAGTCTGTTCGAGTTCTGTTCTAGTTCTGTTCTAGTTTCTGTTCTAGTTCTGTTTAGTTTTGTTCTAGTTCTGTTCTAGTTCTGTTCTAGTTCTGTTCTAGTTCTGTTCTAGTTCCTAGTTCTGTTCTAGTTCTGTTCTAGTTCGGTTCTAGTTCTGTTCTAGGTTCTGTTCTAGTTCTGCTTTCCAGATTCTGTTCCAGTTCTGTTCCCAGTTCTGTTCTAGTTCTGTTCTAGTTCTGTTCTAGTTCTGTTCTAGTTCGTTCTGTTCTAGTTCTATGTTCATGTTTCTAGTTCTAGTTCTAGTTTGTCTAGTTCAGTTCTAGTTCTGTTCTAGTTCTGTTCTAGTTTTCTGTTCTTATGTTCTGTTCTAGTTCGGTTCTAGTTCTGTTCTAGTTCTGTTCTAGTTCTGTTCTAGTTCTGTTCTAGTAGTTCTGTTCTATTGCTTCTGTTCTGTTTAGTTCTGTTCTAGTTCTGTTCTAGTTCGTTCTGTATCTGTTCTAGTTCTGTTCTAGTTCTGTTCTAGTTATGTTCTAGTTCTGTTCTAGTTCTGTTCTAGTTCTGTCTAGTTCAGTTCTAGCTCTGTTCTAGTTCTGTTCTAATTCTGTTCTAGTTCTGTTCTAGTTCTGATCTAGTTCTGTTCTAGTTCTGTTCTAGTTCTGTTCTAGTTCTGATCTAGTTCTGTTCTAGTTCCGTTCTAGTTTTGTTCTAGTTCTGTTCTAGTTCTGTTCTAGTTCTGTTCTAGTTCTGTTTTAGTTCTGTTTTAGTTCTGTTTTAGTTATGTTCTAGTTCAGTTCTAGTTCAGTTCTAATTTTGTTCTAGTTCTGTTCTAGTTCTGTTCTAGTTCTGTTCTAGGTCTGTTCTATTTCTGTTCTAGTTCAGTTAGTTCTGTTCTAGTTCTGTTCTAGTTCTGTTCTAGTTCTGTTCTAGTTCTGTTCTAGTTCTGTTCTAGTTCTGTTCTAGTTCTGTTCTAGTTCTGTTCTAGTTCTGTTCTAGTTCTGTTCTAGTTCTGTTCTAGTTATGTTCTAGTTCTGTTCTAGTTCTGTTCTAGTTCTGTTCTAGTTCTGTTCTAGTTCTGTTCTAGTTCTGTTCTAGTTCTGTTCTAGTTCTGTTCTAGTTCAGTTCTAGTTCTATTCTACTTCTGTTCTAATTATGTTCTAGCTTTGTTCTAACTCTATTTTAATTCTTTTCTAGATCTCTCTGGGGTTCGCAGTTATAAGCAGTTATTTCGGCACGGAATCCATATATTGCGAGATAGATGAGAAAAGGCCATAGCTAACAGTGTGCCCTATACTCTGAATAAATTCATATTATACATACTTTTCAAAATAAAAACTAAACATTAAAAAAAATTACGCATTTTTAAGATATACACCCTATATAAAAATTATTAAAAAGGGTTTATTACTTAAGTGCAAAAATTTAAGGGAAATTATTCAGAATTTGTGAATTTTTAAAGGTTTTTTATTAAATTTGCTACAAACTACTTAAATAGAGAATTAAAATTATGTGGACTTTTAATATTTAAATGATAACATTAGTCAGATTTGTTACAGGAAATAGCGGAAAACATGAATTTGTATTGCATATCAGAAAATTATTAAAGAAAATAACAAATTGCTGTGCTTACATACACAAAAATGTGTTTGGAAAATACTGGAGTTAATGGTTGCGCTGTTCAATGGAAAAGAATAAAATAAATTGCAAACATCTGACTAAAACCTACAAAACTGATATTTCGTGATAAGTGTGTTTTAAATTCTGAATAATTTCTACTACCAACTAAATAACTAATAAAAATAGAATAAAAAAAATTGAAGTGTAGGTTATGGATTTTGTTTTGTTGCAATATCAGAGAAAAGAAAATAACTAACTAAAAATGACAATAAATTAACAAATAGTAAATAAATCATAAACAAAACTAATTTATAAACGTAATACAAATACTCAAACTATTATATAATTAAAAACCCCATTAAGTGTAAAAAGAATTTAATAATAAAGAAATATAAATAGCTTTAGAAACATAAACAAGATAAAAAACTAAAAACATACCTGATAACTTCTGATAATAGCTTGAACAGCTAAATGATCATCGATAGTTTTAGAGTCGGGAGCAGCACCGCTAACCATACCAGCATAAGCTGAAACGGGTAGAGTGTTGTATTGTTGAGGAGCTAGATTTGGGGGACCACAGTAAGAGTTATTGCGGAAATAGGCATCCCAGGACTATAAAATCAAAGAAAATTAATAAGAAAATATATTTCAAAAATATATTCTAAGTAAAACTTACTGTGTGTACAGAGGTGGGATCACGCAACCAATTATTGTACATTTCTTCTACATAAGAAGCTGTGGTACCATTTGCAAAAGGCTCAGCAGCAGCTGAGTTGTAACAACGTACAGCAGCAGCAGCCATAGCATTTTTAATAATCTGTTTAATATTTTAAATAAATTAATTAATATTTATAACTATTTTCATTATATTTTCTATAATAATTACCTTCTTGTTGGCTCCATTTAAAAGCCATGTTGCAAAATTTTTATGTGCCATTGGCGATAACGCCAAATTAAAGGCTGTATTAGCTCTATGCATTATGGCTTTGAATTTCTAACTGCAAGTATATAAAAAAATAAAATTTGAATTAGTTTTATTGTTGTAGACATTTAATTAAAACAAAATCAAGTACAATTTTATAACTTGAACGTCTGCTGTTGTGGCAAATTATAAAATATTTGTGTAAATAATGTTTTATTTATGTTTGTCTAATATTTGGTAAAAATTTTCATTGTTAGAGTAAAATTATAAAGAGTTGTTTAATAAATAGTGTTTTTTATTTATTTTAACTAAACCAGTTTTGGTTTAGTTCTAGTTCAGTTCTAGTCCAGCTCTAGTTCAGTTCTAGTTCATTTCTAGTTCAGTTCTAGTTCAGTTCTAGTTCAGTTCTAGTCCAGTTCTAGTTCAGTTCTAGTTCAGTTCTAGTTCAGTTCTAGTTCAGTTCTAGTTCGGTTCTAGTTCAGTTCTAGTTCAGTTCTAGTTCAGTTCTAGTTCAGTTCTAGTTCAGTTCTAGTTCAGTTCTAGTTCAGTTCTAGTTCAGTTCTAGTTCAGTTCTAGTTCAGTTCTAGTTCAGTTCTAGTTCAGTTCTAGTTCAGTTCTAGTTCAGTTCTAGTTCAGTTCTAGTTCAGTTCTAGTTCAGTTCTAGTTCAGTTCTAGTTCAGTTCTAGTTCAGTACTAGTTCAGTTCTAGTTCAGTTCTAGTTCAGTTCTAGTTCAGTTCTAGTTCAGTTCTAGTTCAGTTCTAGTTCAGTTCTAGTTCAGTTCTAGTTCAGTTCTAGTTCAGTTCTAGTTCAGTTCTAGTTCAGTTCTAGTTCAGTTCTAGTTCAGTTCTAGTTCTAGTGCAGTTCTAGTTCAGTTCTAGTTCAGTTCTAGTTTAGTTCTACTTCAGTTCTAGTTCAGTTCTAGTTCTGTTCTAGTTCAGTTCAAGTTCAGTTCTAGTTCAGTTCTAGTTCAGTTCTAGTTCAGTTCTAGTTCAGTTCTAGTTCAGTTCTAGTTCAGTTCTAGTTCAGTTCTAGTTCAGTTCTAGTTCAGTCTAGTTCAGTTCTAGTTCTGTTCTAGTCCAGTTCTAGTTCAGTTCTAGTTCAGTTCTAGTTCAGTTCTACTTCAGTTCTAGTTCAGTTTAGTTCAGTTCTAGTTCCGTTCTAGTTCAGTTCTAGTTCAGTTCTAGTTCAGTTCTAGTTCAGTTCTAGTTCAGTTCTAGTTCAGTTCTAGTTCAGTTCTAGTTCAGTTCTAGTTCAGTTCTAGTTCAGTTCTAGTTCAGTTCTAGTTCAGTTCTAGTTCAGTTCTAGTTCAGTTCTAGTTCAGTTCTAGTTCAGTTCTAGTTCTAGTTCAGTTCTAGTTCAGTTCAGTTCTAGTTCAGTTCTTGTTCAGTTCTAGTTCTTGTTCAGTTCTTGTTCAGTTCTTGTTCAGTTCTTGTTCAGTTCTAGTTCAGTTCAGTTCTATTTCAGTTCAGTTCTAGTTCAGTTCTAGTTTAGTTCTAGTTCAGTTCTAGTTCAGTTCTAGTTCAGTTCTAGTTCAGTTCTAGTTCAGTTCTAGTTTAGTTCTAGTTCAGTTCTAGTTCAGTTCTAGTTCAGTTCTAGTTCAGTTCTAGTTCAGTTCTAGTTCAGTTCTAGTTCAGTTCTAGTTCAGTTCTAGTTCAGTTCTAGTTCAGTTCTAGTTCAGTTCTAGTTCAGTTCTAGTTCAGTTCTAGTTCAGTTCTAGTTCAGTTCTAGTTCAGTTCTAGTTCAGTTCTAGTTCAGTTCTAGTTCAGTTCTAGTTCAGTTCTAGTTCAGTTCTAGTTCAGTTCTAGTTCAGTTCTAGTTCAGTTCTAGTTCAGTTCTAGTTCAGTTCTAGTTCAGTTCTAGTTCAGTTCTAGTTCAGTTCTAGTTCAGTTCTAGTTCAGTTCTAGTTCAGTTCTAGTTCAGTTCTAGTTCAGTTCTAGTTCAGTTCTAGTTCAGTTCTAGTTCAGTTCTAGTTCAGTTCTAGTTCAGTTCTAGTTCAGTTCTAGTTCAGTTCTAGTTCAGTTCTAGTTCAGTTCTAGTTCAGTTCTAGTTCAGTTCTAGTTCAGTTCTAGTTAAGTTCTAGTTCAGTTCTAGTTCAGCTCTAGTTCAGTTCTAGTTCAGTTCTAGTTCAATTCTAGTTCAATTCTAGTTCAATTCTAGTTCAGTTCTAATTCTGGCTCAGTTCTGGTTCAGTTCTAGTTCAGTTCTAGTAATTTCAAGTAATTTTAATTTAACATCAAACCTTTTTAATTAGTGACTACATCAGTTAATATTTTGCACATCAAATTTTCACACAATTAAAACCTTGAAAATTTATCTTGAAAACAACAAATGGTTTAATAATGAATCTACATTTCACAAAAAAAAAGAGTTTCGCCAAGACATTATTTGTTTACGCAATTCGCCATAAAGACAAAGCAACAAAACACAGTTAAAAACCACCAACCGAAAGAGAGATAACAAAATTTACCCATTTTTCAAATTAAACAAATATTATACGTCAAAATTAAAACCAAGAACACAAAATTGCGCATTTAGTAAAAAACAGCAAAATAAAAAAAAATGTAGACTACATATTTATAAAACAAAAAATTTTGTTTCATTTTTATCTAGAAGTTTATAAAAATAAAATAAAGAAATAACTAAACAAATAACGTCATAATCACGTGAGAAGGTTGTTTTCAGAATTATTTCATTAATTCATTCACAAGTTCGAATTCCCCAAAAAATATGAAAGAGATAGAATGCTAAATCAACAAAAAATAAGCTTAAAAATTTAATTGGCAACAAATGGTTTTAGATTTTATCCAAATATAAGAAATATGGAATTGTTATTGTATGTCAGGGTCTCTATAACAGGAAAGAGTATTGAAAAGACCGGTTGTTTTTGTTGAGATTATAATTAAATTTTTTAAGTATTAAGTGACGTAGTTATTATTTTTATTATTTATTCTAATGAATAATTACTTTAGAAAATAAATAAAATTTAGTTTAAACAGTTATGATAATTGAAAATGCATTAGATAACCTAAACAAATTATATAAATTTTATAATTCTTTTAAACTTTCAATTTGTAACAAATTGCTTTGTGATAATATTCACGTATTCCAATATTTTAAACTTTTTAAGTTAAAATTAACAAACTTTTGAATTTTTTCGTTAATTTTTTTATATTTTTTTTAACAATATTCGTTAAGTTTTTTTTGTAAAATTTAACAAAAATCACTTTTACACAAAAAGTAAACGAACTAATAAAAAACCTGTAGTTTATTAAATTTGCTTGTTTTTTTAATTTGTTTTATACAAAAAAAAAAAAAAAACTCACACACAAGGAAAAGTAAAAGTATAATGTATTAGTCATTATATTTAAAAGTTTAAACTAATATATTGATAATATAGAGTTTGAATAAATAAAGAAACAAATTACGTCAATGTGATGGCTTGACGCTGGAAGTGAAAAAAAACTACAAATACATATTTAAATTTTGTATTTATGTTGAAAGAAATTATCGTGTGTTGATATTTATGCAAATATCTTTATTAGTTATTAAGAAAAACCAGACACTTTAAGAGATTTATACCAAAAAATTTGTTGTGTTGTTAAGTTGAATTTAGATTTATTTAAATATTTTAATTTCTTCTAAATTTCTATGAAATAATAAACCGTTTAACAATTTTAAGTGTTTGTGAAAAAATGTTCAATCGAAATGTCTGAAAATTGTTCTTGAAAAGTTTTTTTTGCCAAAAAGTTCGTCAATAAATGTTGTAAAAAAAGTTTTTCTAAAAGTTTCCTAACGAAAAATGTATCTAAAAGCTTCCTATAGAAAACATTGACAAAAAGTTTTCTAAAAGTTTCCCAGTGAGAAGTTTGTCAATATTTTTTCTAAAGAAAAGTTCTTTAAAAGTTTTTAAAGAAGTTTTTTATAGAAAAGTTTATCAACAAGTTTTCTATGGAATAAGTTTTCTAGAGAAAAGTTCTTTTAAAAGTTTTCTACACAAAAGTTCTTCTAATGATTTCCTAGTGAAAAGTTCATCTAAAAGCTTTCTATACAAAAGTTCATCAACAAGTTTTCTATAGAAAAAAAGTTAATTTATCTAAAGTTTAAAAAGTTCTTCTTAAAGTTTTCTAAAAAAGAAATTTGCAAAAGATTCCTATAGAGAAGTTCGTGAAAATATTTTCTACAGAAAAGTTCGTCAAAAAGTTTTCTACAGAAAAGTTCTTCTTAAAGTTTCCTAATGAAAAGTTTGCCCAAAAGCGTGCTAAAAAATTTTCCTGAAAAATGTTCTTTAAAAGTTTTCTACAGAAAAGTTTGTCAAAAAGTTTTTTACATAAAAATTCATCAAAAAGTTTTCTACAGAAAAGTTTGTTAAAAAAGTTTCCTAGTGAAAAGTTTATCTAAAAGCTTTCTATACAAAAGTTTGTCTAGAAATACTAGGGAAAGTTCCTTAGTGAAAAGCTTCTCTAAAGGCTTCCTATAGAGAACATAGACAAAAAGTTTTCTACAAAAAAAAGTTCTTTTAAAAGTTTCCTAGTGAAAAGTCTGTCGAAACGTTGTTAATAAATTCTATAAAAGATTGTCAAAAAGTTTTTTACAGAAAAATTCATCAAAAAGTTTTCTACAGAAAAGTTTGTTAAAAAAGTTTCCTAGTGAAAAGTTGATCTAAAAGCTTCCTATAAAAAAAGTTTCTCTAGAAAGACTAGAGAAAGTTCCTTAGTGAAAAGTTTGTCTAAAAGCTTTCTATAGAGAACATCGATAAAAAGTTTTCTACAAAAAAAGTTCTTTTAAAAGTTTCTAGTGAAAAGTTTGTCAAAAAAAATTTTTTTAAGTTTCCTATCGAAACGTTGTTAATAAATTCTATAAAAGTTTGTCTAAAAATTTTACATAGAAAGTTTCCTAAAGAAAAAGTTTTCAACAAGTTTTCTGCAGAAAATTTCATCAAAGCGTTTTCTAAACAAAAGTTTGTCGACAAGTTTTCTATAGAAAAGTTTATCAATAAGTTTGCTATAGAAAAGTTCATCGAAATGTCTTCTACAAGAGTTTATTAAGATATTTATAAAAGTTTAAAATATTTTGTCACATCGATAAATAAAGATTTTAAGTAAAAACAAAAAGTAAGAAAGATATGTTTAAAAAGTACAGACGATAAAACAATTTTAATTAAAACAATATCAGGAAAAAAATCAATGCTGACTAAGTCGACTAAATTGATTGTATTTAAATTGAATTAAGAGAAAGCTTGTAACAAATACAGCTCTAAATGTTTTAAACAAATTGCATTTTTTGCTTAAATAACAAAAATCTAATTTAAAAATTTAATTAAAATCCATTACTGTTTTATAAATAACTTTTCTTATATAAATATAATGAATTTGTTTACTCTCTCAGCAAATAATTAATTCCTTAATAGACCTGTTTTTAACACACCAAAAAAAATAAATAAAAACAATTACCTAGTATAGAACAATAATTCTAAAAAAGAACCGCAAGAGAAAAAATATATATTTTAATAGCTGACTAACACTGAAATAAAGTTAATATTAAACAATAACATAATATAAGTATAATTAAATATTTATGACACTTCTGGCAGACTTCATTTCATTTTTTTATAGGGTATAGTACAATTTTTTTTTTTTTTGTTCAACGTCTGGTAAATGGCCTTTTAAGCTCTAGTTGTTGGTATAAATTTTTTGATAAGCTAATAAGCGTGCACATAGTATATGTATAATAATTTGCCTTAAGTGACTTTCTTTTATTTTTATTTCATTTTTTTTTTAGTTTAGTACTATTTATGTTTTAAATCACATGTTCTTATCGAGAAGTTTTTTTATTATTATTTAATAAATATTGCGAATATCATCATGACGTGATGTATGACAAAGTTTAATAAAATGTTTCCAAAATATTCCCATAGCGTTCACTAACACTTAACACATTTGTCTTAATTATTATTGATTTTTATCGCAGATTGTGTTTTTGTACAAGTACAAGCTAATTATTTATATATAAATGTATCACAAGTAGTTAAACTTGTTGGATTTTAAGATTTAGTAGATATGTACGGATATTCGAAATCAAATATTTTGTTTAACATATAGAAAAAAAATTAATATTAATAATTCATGGAAAATACCATAAACGTTTGCAATGATGAGACAACTTTTTTGTTTAATTGGGAACCTCTGTTTTATTTATTTATAGCTCTACTTATATTATTTAATTATATCAGTTCATGTAATCAAACACACTTATAAAGTACCTTTAATTATGAAAAGGTTTAGACTTGACAACCTGTCGGTTGCAAATTTTGTTGGTTACAAACAGTGAGTGACAATATAATGAATATTTTTTGATATTACAGTTAATTTTTTGTCAACATCATGTTTATTTCATAACCAGATAAAAAATTCCCCTAATACAAAGTTGTGTGAAAACAATAGTAAATGTTTTTGTAATAGTTTATATAAAAAACTGAAACAGTATCTATTTTGAAAAAGTTTCATATTAACCTACAAAAACTTGAGTTGTAAGATAAAACTTTGCATTAAAAACGTAATGAAATATATCCAGCTTTTTTGCAGCTGGAAACCGAAATTACTATTTTTATAGAAAAATTCATTAAAACTTTTTTACAAAGTAAAGTTTGCCAAAAAGTTCGTCAAAAAGTTTTCTATAGAAAATTTCTTCTAAAAGTTTTTTATAGAAAAGTTTATCAAAAAGTTTTCTATAGAAAAGTTCATCAAAAGTTTTCTATAGAAAAGTTCATCAAAAAGTTTTCTACAGGAAAGTCCCTCAAAAAGTCTTTTTTAGAGAAGTTCGTCAAAAAGTTTTCTATAGAAAAGTTCCTTAAAAAGTTTTCTTTAGAAAAGCTTATCAAAATGTGTTTATAGAAAAGTTCCTTTAAAAGTTTTCTTTTTGTTTAGAGAAGTTCGTCCAAAAGATTTCTATATAAAAGTTCCTTAAAAAGTTTTCTTTAGAAAAGTTCATCAAAAAGTTTTCTATATAAAAGTTCCTTAAAAAGTTTTCTACAGAAAAGTTTGCTAAAAAGTTTTCTATTTAAAAGTTAAACAGAAGATTTCTTTAGAAAATCTGGTTAAAAAGCTGTCTATAGAAAAGTTAGTCAAAACGCTTTCTACAGAAAAGTTTGTCAAACAGTTATAATTGAAAAAGTAAAAAAAATCTATAGAAAAGTTCAACAAAAAGTTTTCCACAAAGTTTTCTATAGAAAAGTTCAACATAAAGTTTCCTATATAAAAGGTAACCAAAAAGTTTTCTAGGGAAAAGTGTAACAAAAAATTTTCCAAAAATTTTCTACAGAAAAGTTTGTCAAAAAGTTTTCTATAGAAATAAAGTTTGGCAAAAAGTTTGACAAAAAGCTTTTTTTTTTTGGAAAAAACTGGTCCCAAAGTGTTCTATAGGAAAACATTTCTATAATAAAATGTATTCACAATTTTTTTAAAGTTCTTTAATGTTTTCTATTGAAAAATTTACCAAAAAATTGTCGGTAGAAAAGTTTGCCAGAAAAGTTTTCTATAGAAACGTTTGACAAAAATTAAAGTTACCTATATAAAAGTTTGTCTAATAAAAATTTTTCTAAATTTCAAGAAATAAAAGTTTTAGAAAGATTTTAACCGGCATCCGCGAATATTTTGGTAATAAAAATAAATATTGAACAAATATAATAATTTTATAATGAAATTTTCTCAATAAGAAGCAAATATGATAAATATTTAATTTACTAGTGTTAAAATGAAAAACAAATATCAAAACAGATCTAACAAACAAATTAATAATAATATTTACACTATTTTTTTTTTTAGTCACGTGAATTAGAAAAGATAAACAACAATATAGATTATATAAATGCTCTTAAATAACTAATAATTGTAATCGACTGTCATGTAAATGTCAACAATATAAACAGTTACAAATACCACACTTTAACTCTTCAAGTGTAAACAAATGCTGACCTTGGCCTTAAAAGGGGTGGGAAAATTGAGGGATGGCATACATAATGGGCATAAAAAAGACTTTAAATCAAAATAAAAACAACATTTGCTATAATTAAAAAATTCAACTGCGAAATAAGTTACAATAGGGCGAAGCAAAAGAAAATTATCGATTTTTCTTTAGCTATTATATAAAAGCTAAAAACTAAGGAGGAAAAATCATAACAAAACCGAGAAACGGAAAATAGAAAATGAAAAGTATAAATAAAAAAAGAAAATAAACACACTAATACAAACGCCCACCAGCTCATACCAACCAACCAACCGACAGACAAACAAACACATGAAATTGGAGAAAATAAAATCTAAAAGAAAATCTATCTAAACATTTTTTTGGCTTTTCTTTTTTTACAGATTTCTAGAAATTGAAATTATTTCTAATTTGTTTAGGCTGTTACGTTTTTTATTATATCTATTAATTCATCTATTTTTGAGAACTAGCAGCATTATTTGCTGCAGCAATTGTTACGTTTTTCAAAAGGTACAAAATTGAAATGAAAATTTTCTTTTTCACAGACGTTACATAAGAAATATTTATTTTTGTAGTTTATTTAAAGTTCTTATTGGTTAAAAAAAAAATATTAAAAAATTATTTAAAATTTTTTATTTTTTAAAAAAGTTTTTCTTAAGTTTTTTTTTTTCAATATTTAAAAAATATTTTTTTTTTAATTTTTTATTTCAACTACATTACGTGTTTTGTTTTAATTTTTTTTGTTCACTTTTTTTATGTAATAATTTTAATATTGCACTTTTTTAATAATTGTAATTTTCAACTCTTTACTAACCGTTTATTAAAATTTATTAATAAATGAAAATAAAAAATTTAAACTGCGACGCGTTTAAAAATAATTGTTACTTTTTGGTATTTTTCTCTCTCTCTTACGATCTTTACGTTGGTAGCGCTACGCGTCGACTGAAAACAGTTTATGAGAATTTCATTAATCTTAAAAATGAAATGAAATTATCAAGAGTATTTTGTTCGTTTTATTTTTGTTGTACAGCATTTAATAAAACAAAATACAAAATTCAACAGCAGCAACAAATACAATAACAAAAATAATTTTTAAACAAATAAAAGAAAGCAAAGGAGAGCCACAGTCAAGATAGTATGATAAATTTCGTTAAATAAAAATAAACAAAAAAAATTCGGTAAATATAAAAAAAAATACTTTTTATTTCCAATTCATGACCGTTGGGTTGGCAAACACATGACTTTTTATTTATTTATCGTCTATATGTTTGAATTGTATGTTGCTGATGATTATGATGACGATGATTAGTTTCTTATTGTTTTCTTTAGTTGATTTTGTTGTCACAGTTCTTTTTGGGGTTTTTGTTAATAGACTAGAATAAAGCGTCATAATACCGTGGCAAAGAATTTAGCGGTAAGTATATAGAAAGATTGGTATAGAAGCATTCGTTGTATAACTTAAATATTAACCCATTAATCACCGATTTTAAGCAAAGTTTAACTGTTTTTAAAAAAGTAGTAGATTTTCTATTAGATCTTTCGTTCCCGACTTTTAGCATGCTCAATTAACCGAGAAAGGGGAGAAAGGGCAAGAGGGACGGCGAAAACGGGGCGGAGGCGAAAAGAAGGGCCAGGGGAAGGGCCGAAAAAAAGGGCGGCACAGCGCGAGAGGAGGCCCAGGGAAAACAACGAACGAACAAACGAACGAACGAACGAACGAACGAACGAAAACGAACGAACGAACGAACGAACGAACGAACGAACGAAAACGAACTAACGAACGAAAACGAACGAACGAACGAACGAACGAACGAACGAACGAACGAACGAACGAAAACGAACGAACGAACGAACGAACGAAGAACGAAACGAACGAACGAACGAACGAACGAACGAACTAACTAAAAAAAAAAAAAAAAACGAACGAACGAACTAACGAACGAACGAACGTAACGAAGGAACTAACGAACGAACGAACGAACGAACGAACGAACGAACTAACTAACTAACAAATAACTAAAAACTAACTAACTAACTAAAAACTAACTATCGAACTACGATCTATCTATCTATCTATCTATCTAGCGATCTATCATCTATCTATATCTATCTATCTATCTATATATCTATCTATCTATCTATCTATCTATCTATCTATCTATCTATATATATATCTATCTCTCTAACTATCTAACTAACTATTTTCCTTTGTTTTTCAGATTGGACTAAAATCTAACATACATATTAATTATCGAAAGGGCGTATGTATTAGCTTTAAAGGGAAGGAATCTGGAGTTAGTTAACCTTAAGAACGCAAAACCATTCGACATAAGGAATGAATTAAAAATATGGTTGAAAGAATCCCATAAGGCCTCTTGGAATAATGACACGGCGGGTTTAACCACATGGGGTGAGCCTAATGAGAGCAAGACGTGAAATCTACTTAAAACGGGCAAGTCTGGTCTAGATGATAGTATTCTGAATGGACACAAACATGCGAGCATGGGGAGAGGACGGTGAAACTCTGAAGCACTTTCTTTGCCACTGTCAGCCATTCGGCGAAGTAAGATACAAATATCTTAAGAGTGATATTATTCCGGATATAAGATTCCTCACGAAAACTGATTGGAAAATTCTTAGGAATAACTTCCAGGACTCTGAGTTTCTGAACATTGAAAGATAATACATTCAGTAAACACTATTTTTTTTCAGTTTGATTACCCACAAACTTTTTTCTTCCATGAAAAGGAACGCACAACAGACCCTACTATCAACCTAACCTAATATGAATGATAATGATTAAGAGATTATTTTAAATAATTAATTTAATTTATTTTAAATAAAGATAATATTAAAAGTTCTTACATAATTTTGATTATTCCAAATTTAAAAGTTTGCCCTTCATGGGTTAACTTGCAGTAGTATCTAAGTGAAGAGAAATATTTAAGCGGAACAAGCGAACAAACACAAGTTAGCAATATCATTAAAAAAAAACACTTTTTATATAAACCTTTAAAAAAATAGTTGAACTAAAATTGATTGCATCACATTATGAACTTTAGATACTATTAAAAATAATGGAAAAAACAAAGTTCAGTTAACTTAAACTGACTTTCAATGTTAAATTTCAAATATCTAACACCTTTCAATTCAATAACATATCATATCATTCGTTAGTAACAACAATAATAATTCATAAAAAAAACAATTCTTTCTTTATCATTTCCTTAAATTATAACTGAGAGAAAGTGGTTTGTTTTAAAAAGAAAGATATCTTGAATATTGATTGTCGTTGTTGTAGTTTGGTAGACACAACAAACGGCATGTACTAGGTATGTTGGTTGTAAAAAAAAACATTTAACTAACGGAAACTACAATTATTTTATGATTTATTTTGAAAGATACTCATCAGTTAGTCAATGAATAAAATAGCAAATGCTCAAAATCGTCAGTAGTTTATATATTCCACATGATAAGCCTACAACATGTGAAATATTTTAGAAATAAAAAAAATCGTGTGCGCGCATAAATCAACCAAAAAAAATTATCAAGACGTGATGGTTTTTTTTTTCTAAACTAAGGTAGGTATGTATGTGTTATGTTTATATATAAAATTTATGCTGGATATTTTTGGTATGTATTTTATGAGACCATGACGTAGTAAGTTTCATTCAAATTTTTTAAATTTCATCATTCTTTCTCTGTGCCATTAAAAAAAGCAAAAACCGGTGATAATGAAGTTTTATATGACGTCTACTCTCTATATACATATATACATATATTTGTAAGTAAGTATTTATGTATTTGTTTTACGATTCTCTTACATTGTACATGTTTAATTTTCAATTGTTTTGTTTACGCACATTTACTTTTTTTCTCTTTTTATAATTTTTTAAACTCAAAAAGTGTTTAATATAACCTACAAGAGGCTTGTCTGCTGTAGTCTTAATATTAGAATATATGCCGACTATAATACTATTTACAATTCGTATACATATCAGATTAGTTAAGAATCTATACTTGTTCGTTTAGTTTACTTATGGTCTGTGTAAATGTTATTTTAGGTATTTTTACTATTGTTTATTTACAATATTCGAAAAATTTCTAGGAACTTTGAATGTAACAGACAGAACGTGCATATCGATGTGTAAACAATTTATTTGAATATCTATTTACAATTTGTTAGTTCAAAAAGGTTTATCAGACTTTTTTTTATTATTTTATTATGCACTTAAATCAATATTTATTTAACCCCCCAAAATGGTTGGTTAAGAAGAATGTCAGACATTAATTTATTTATTTTTACATAAAAATTATATTTACAATAACACTTTGTAAGAATTTTATCTTTCATATTAAAAAATAATTAATTTTTTAAATCATCAACGACTGCAGGCATGGAATGTTTGAATTTTGAAATAGTAAATTTCAGGGTTTTAATGTATTAAATTACTTTTTTATTTTTTCATCTATTGACTGGTTTACTTACTAGTCTCTGGATATACAAGCCTATGGAATAGTCTCTATAGATTAGTCTACGGACTAGTCTGTTGTCTATGATTAGTCTATGGACGAGCCTATTGACTAGTCCATGGACGAGTCTATGTACTAGTCTATGGACTAATCTATGGACTAGTCTATTGGCTAACCTCTGAACGAATATTGACTCGCTTATGGACGAGTATATTTTTCTAAATTATTTTCGTCTTTTAATCTTTTGAATAGTTTACTGACTAATCTCTAGAGTATACAACTCTATGGAAGAGACTATTGACTAGTCTATTGACTTGTCTATGGACTAGTCTATGGGCAAGTTCAGCATTTTTTATCTTTTGACTAGTTAACTGACTAATTTCTGGCGTATAGAAGTCTATGGACGAGACGATTGACTAGTCTATGGAATTGTGTATTGACTAGTGTATGGAGTATTCTATGGACTATTTTGTGACTAAGCTATGGAATAGTTTACAGATTGGTTGATTGGCTAGTCTATTGCGTCTATGGACTTGATATTTGAATAGTGTATGGACTATGTAGTATATGTACTATTTTATGGACTAGTCTACTGATTAATCTGTGGTTTGATCGATAGACGAACGCATAAGTACATATTGGCTAATTGACTGTTCTATGAGATAGATTAATATATTGACTAATCTGTGTAATTTTGTAATCAAAAAAGTACTAAATTTGTCGTGGGAATAATAAAGTATTTTTCTATGTAAAAAGTACTAAAGTACAATAGTATGTACTGAGTTTTCCATCAATCAATTAGAGAGTGTCTACGAAATATAACATTTCTATTACAATTGGAAATAAACGTTTTTTTATTTAAAGCGGCATAATTCTGAAAATCAATTAAAATTTTCGTTTTATTAAATTTTAATTTCATCATAAAACTTTTATAAGAGCTAACGTTTTTCCCCAAAATGCTAACGTATTTATAACAATCAAATTAAATATAAAAAATTTCAGATTAAAAACCTTATTCAAATGATTGTTGATAATCAATAGATTCTTTGGACATTGGGCTATTTATATTGTGTGGTGGCATTTGCAAAATATATTTTGTAATTACTTCTAGCACATTATTTGTCATAAAATATAAAATTATCAACGTATCTTATGCGGTTATCACATGTGCTTTCAAGTTAATACATAAGTTCGAGACCTTGAATACCTATTTCGTTTCTTTTTCATTACTTGCAAAAAGAAAAAACGATAAGATAATTTGACAAAAAGTGGGAGTGTTTTATTTTTGGTTTAAAATTTATAAAATTTCAATATGTGCACATATTAAATGCAAAGAAAATATTTAAATTATTAAATATTTATTTAGCTGGAATTTTCTAGTTCCAGACGAAAAATTTTCTGTTATCCTCAGACTTTGTCACTTGTTCAAATGTCAGCAGTACTGCAAACGTTAAGTTTCGTAGATAATCCAACCATCAAGTCTTACAATAATACTATAAATGAATTGCTCTCCCTTTTACTAGTATCGATTCTATTTTTTAATATAAAGCATATGTGTGATCGTGAGCAGCACTTAAAACATTG